GTGGAGCTGCTGGGATTAGAACCAGCATCTGTATGGGATCCTGGTGCATGGAAGGTGAGGATTTTGCCACTGAGCCATTGCACGTGGCCCCTTGACAGAATTTCTAAGGACAGTTTTGGTCACTCTTTCTCCTAGGTTTTGCTTACTGGCAACACAATAAAATGGTAATATTACCTTTTAAAAGAATGTTACCATTCTTGTTAGTCTGTTTTCCTCATTCCTTACAGACCTTTTGAATCTGTGAAGAAAATTTTATTGTAATTCTGGTGTGAATACTGTATTTTGGTGACCCTGAGTTAGTGAATGTTATCTTGTTTGTGTTGATCAACATTGCTATGAAGACATGATTAGAGATGGAAAAGACAGCTGGGAAATATACTGACGGAGAACCTTGAATCCCAAGGCTTTTCTAGCGGAGAGAAAGCTGTGATTTTCAAAGACCCTTCTATGGGAATACAGGACTGATTTAATTCTAATTCTGTCTTTGTCATATGTAACAGCTTTATTAAAGTATCCACATGCCGTACAATACACCATTTACAGTGATTTTTTGAATAGTCGCCGAGTGGTGCAACCATCCCCGCAGTTGGTTTTTACACACTAGAAGGAAACCTTTCCCATTTGCAGTGACTTCTCATCTCCTGCAGCCTGAGGCAACCACTGAGCCACTGCCTGCAGACAGTAGATTCCTGTTCTGGACACATCCTGTGATGAGTATGTGCTCTTTTCACCTTTGTATGTGACATACCCATCTGAGAACTAACGGGAATACTGCAGGGTTCTTGCAGAGGAGACCTGACCTGTAAGGAGATGCACTCCCTCAGGTATACCAAAGGCTGAAACACCCACACCCACTCACTGAGGCAGGAGCACAAGCACCTAGACAAACTTACAGTCTATAGTAACTGATACACAGTGATAACCCTTGACAAATAAACAGCTTCTGGGCTTATCTGAGTACTGACATCACTGTCAGTACATGCAGATGAGCACAATTCCTGGAGTGTGTCTGCCAAACTAGGAGAAAATGATGGGTGTATGTAAAGTGTACTTTCCTGACATTCATAAGTACTTCCTGCAGCTTTCTTTTTATTTTTTAAGCAGAAGCAATTGCCTAATATGTATGTTGACTTGTAAGTAAGGTTTGTAGTTCTCTAGCCTATTGACTAGCAGTTCCTTTGAACAGAATATCAATAAACAGTAGGGAATTTCCACTTGGAAAATTATAACTAGCAAGACACTTTGGCTCTTTGAATGTAGTATTATAACCATAATGAGGCATTGTTAGGAACTATTCCTTTGATATGCATACCATTTGCAGGGAGAGGAGGCTCCATGAATATGTAGCTAGCATATGTAATAAGTATGGGTTACAGTCACATGGCCCTTACCCAAGGACAAGCATTATAAGATTGGTTGCAACTCAAGGATTTATTTATTTTCATTCTTAGTGGACTATTATTAACCCAAGTTAGTATTCTTAAAGAACTGCTTGTTGTTATTTTCTTTAATTTTCCCACTGGGGTTCTAGACATGTTGAAGGGAGTGGGAGGAGGTCTAATTTGATTGAAAATAACAGGTATGTGATTATTTCAAAGTCAAGTCCCTCCCGTCTGTTTCCCTAAAATCTACAAAATTTCTTGGAGACAGATTATGAAAATGGCAGCAAACCTGTGTGGATTCACCTCTGCAACAGCTTCTGCAGCTCCTTGTCTAACTCTCACTTACACCCCTCCTAGGACCTCAGTTGACATCCCAGGGGCGTAGGGAGGCTGGGTACAGCCACTGGCTTTCCTAGAACAGCCCTTGCCACTGCAGTCAGCTCCTGTGCCCACCTTCCTGCCTTAGAGGACACCACATCCTCTTTTTTTTTTTTTTTTTCTTTTTTTAAAAGTGCGCCAAACCTTAGTTCTTGTCCATAATTCCTTTAATGGGGACACCGTGGAAGTTTTTTCAGTTGTCAGAACTGGTCCCCGAAAGATACAAAACAAATCGAGCAGGGGTTCAAGGGCTGGAGGTAGAACAGCGTGGAAATGTCCTGCTTTGCTGTGACACAGTGTGAAGGTCACTCCTTCTCCTTTCCCAGGCTCCTGCTCTGACCCCCATCCCTGTGCATGGGCCTCTTAGTGTAGACTTCTGGCCCCTCCATCTGGTGTTTTCTGCTTTCCAGACCACACTGGCCGTGATCTCTGGACTTCTTTAGCACTAATAGTTTGTTCCATTGTTTTGGCAGTTAGTTGTATTGATTTTTAAAAATAGCTTTGTGTGCTTGTTTCCTTTTCCCAAATAGAATGTATTAGTCAAGGTTCTCAGCGCTCAGGGAACACCAACCCACTTAGGCCAGTTTACTCTGGTATCAAGGCTGGAAGTTACATTGGGTTACTATTGTTACAAGGGCTCTCGAAATAAACTACAGTTGGAACCCAGAACCGGCTCTTGGAGAGCCCCTGTGCTTTGCTCTGGAGCTCGCATGGATTCTTTGCAGCTTTCTCTGCCTCTGTTCCATTTCAGAATATTAATTTTTTTTGAGGGTGGTGGCATAGAGAAATCTTGCATTATCTCCCAAATGCCCTCAACAGGCTGGCCTGGGTCATATTGAAGCTAGGAGCTGGGAACTGCATCTAGGTCTCCCACATGGATGGCAACTAGCAAATTCCTTAAGCTGTCACCTGCTGCTTCCCAGAGTAAGCATTCACAGGAAGCAGGAAGCTGGAATGAGAAGCAGAACCAGGCTTCAACCAGGCTCTGCCTCAAATGAGGTTGCTGGGGCCAGCATTGTGGTACGAAGACTTGGGTTGGGCTATTCTGACATTTTGTGAATGCAGATTCAAGTACCAGCTGTTCCATTTCTTTTTTTTTTTTTTTTTGAGATTTATTTATTTTTATTACAAAGTTGGATATACACAAAGGAGGAGAGATAGAGAAGATCTTCCAGCCACTGATTCACTCTCCAAGTGCCCGCAATGGCCGGTGCTGTACTGATTCAAAGCCAGGAGCCAGGAGATGCTTCCAGGTCTCCCACACGGGTTCAGGGTCCCAAGGCTCTGGGCCATCCTCGACTGCTTTCCCAGGCCACAAGCAGGGACCTGGATGGGAAGTGGGGCTGCTGGGATTAGAACCAGCGTCTATATGGGATCCTGGTGCGTTGAAGGCAAGGACTTTAGCTGCTAGGCCACGCCGCTGGGCCCAGCTGTTCTACTTCCAACCTGGCTACTTGCTAATGAGCTTGGGAAAGCAGGTGAAGGTGACCCAAGTGCTTGGGCCTCTGCCACCTACCTGGGAGACCTGAATATACCTGGTTTTGGCCTGGCTCAGTCCTGCCCATTGCAGCCATCTGGGGAGTGAACAGGCGGGTGGAAGATGTCTGTCTCTTTCTCTGTAACTCTGCCTTTCATATTAATGAATCTTAAAAATGAAACTACTTTTGCTTCTCGATTGATTTCCCTCATTTAGAGGAGGGAATTTCCCTGTTAGAGGAGACATCCCTTTAGCTCCCTTTTGAAGAACTTGTGCCAGAACAGACCTTACACCATAAGGACAGTGAACCAAGCATCTTGACCAATAGCAATGATTTTTAACACTTCCCTCCTTTCATCAGTTCTGCTTTCTTCTCACCAGTCTTAAACATTATTCTGTTTTTCTTTCCACCTCCACCCCTGCCCACCTCTTTCCCAGAAACCATTCCACACACTAGCTGTATGGTTCTCATTAGTTTAGTAGTTTTTTTTTTTTTTTTTATGGTGTGTGGATTTTTTGGGGATGTATGTATATATTTTTTTTTCCAAAGATGATCTATAGTGATATAATATTATGACAAATTTCCACTTTTGGGCCAGAGGTCTTGGTTTTTCTTTTTTGAAACCTGTGAATATGTCCACCTCACTGAGCTGCTGAAATTCTCCAAGTCACTGAGTTGTGTGTGTATTTTTAACAATTTTAAAAACTCCACTTTAAGTGTGTAGCTCTATGATATGCATATCAAATTGCTTTTCCTAGCAGAAACTCCTGAGCGCTGGTTTTAGTCTATAAGATAGTTATTTTGCCCTTTCCCCTGTCTTCCCAAGTTCAACTGTGCATTGTGCTTCCAGCTACAGTGTGGCTGTTTCCCTGTGCTCCATGTCCTGGTGATTGGTTCCACTGTTCAGTCTGTCACGTCTCATCACACTTGTGGGACGCAGGGTCCAGGTGGGAAACAGTGCCATTTTCTTCAAGAACTGGTTCCCTTTTGTCCTACATTTGAATGGGAAGAGCTCAGTTTATTCCCTCTTCTTGGGTATTCAGTACAGCTTTTTAACTCACCTGGTGAGACTATATCATAACCCTGGGGGTTTGCCAAATTGTTTTGGTTGGTATTATATTCCCAAACTCCCCAGTTTGGAATTCCAGATGTATTATGCAAATTGTAGGCTTGTACTTCCTTAGTTACCTATTGTAGCCACACTTTCCTATTCATCTGTAATTAACTTGTGATAACAAAGCTGATGAGTCTCCAGGCCCATGAAGTTGATTAGAGTAATACTAGAGTAATACTAGTGTTATCCCGAAAGTTGCAGGTGTCCTGTGTCTCTAAAGCTGTATGGGAGTGTAGGCCTCATCCACTGAGGAGCAGGCCTTCGTGGCAGCTGGGGTGCTGGGGGCATCAAACTGTCAGATGGAGGGGCTGCGTGGTGGGTCACAACTAGAGCACTGTTGGCCTTTAGAGGGGAGCAGAGACAACCATGGACAAAGAAGAGGGAGGAAAGGCTTTGGAGAGGTTGGACTGGAGCCAGTCATCAGATTGTATGGTTTGGGTTGAATGGAAAAATGCCACTTAGGGATAAGAGTATAAGCAGAATTGTTGAAGAGAATGGTACAGCATTGTAGGAGACAAGAGAGGCAGTGACATGAAAGTGAAGCCGTAAAGAAGTCAGCTTCATTGCCCCAGCAAGTGGGAGAACAGAACGTGTCAAAAACCCAAGACACAGTTTTTTTTTAAAGTTTTATTTATTTTTATTTCAAAGTCAGGTATACATAGAGGAGGAGAGACAGAGAGGATCTTCACTCCCTAAGTGACCACAGCAGCTGGTCAGATGTCAGGAGCCAGGAACTTCCCCCAGGTCTCCTGGGTGGATGCAGGATCCCCAGGCTTCGGGTCATCCTCAACTGCTTTTCCAGGCCACAAGCAGGGAGCTGGATGGGAAGCAGGGTCACCGGGATTAGAACCAGTGCCCATATGGGATCCCAGAACATACAAGGCAAAGACTTAAGCCACTAGGCCACCGTGCTGGGCCCAATTTTTTAAAAAAAGATTTATTTATTTTTATTGGAAAGGCAGATCATATTTACAGAAAAAAGGAGAGACAGAGAGAAAGACCCTCAGTCCGCTGGCTCACTCCCTGAATAGCTATAGTAGCTAGAGCTGAGGTGATCAGAAGCCAGGAACTTCTGGTTTTGTTTGTTTGTTTCTTTGTTTAGATTAATTAATTAATTAATTTTAAAGATTTATTTTATTTTTATTGGAAAGGCGGATATACAGAGAGGAGAGACAGAGAGGAAGATCTTCCGTCTGATGATTCACTCCCCAAGTGAGCGCGACGGTCGATGCTATGCCAATCCGAAGCCAGGAGCCTCTTCTGGGTCTCCCGCGCAGGTGCAGGGTCCCAAAGCCTTGGGCCATCCTTGACTGCCTTCCCGGGCCACAGGCAGGGAGCAGGATGGGAAGTGGGGCTGCCGGGATTAGAACCGGCGCCCATGTGGGATCCCAGGCATGCCCAAAGCGAGGACCTTAACCACTGCGCCACCATGCCGGGCCCTAGATTAATTTATTTTTATTGCAAAGTCAGATAGATACACACAGAGGAGCAGAAACAGAGGAAGATCTTCTGTCCAATGATTCACTCCCCAAGTGACTGCAGTGTCCAGAACTGTGGCAGTCTGAAGTCAGGAGCCAGGTCTCCCACGCGAGTTCAGGGTCCCAAGGCTTTGGGCCATCCTCAACTGCTTTCCCAGGCCACAAGCAGGGAGCTGGATGGGAAGTGGAGCTGCTGGGATTAGAACCGGTGCCCATATGGGATCCTGGTGCATGGAAGGTGAGGACTTTAGCCGCTAGGCCACCATGCCGGGCCCTCCAGGAACTTCTTCCTGGTCTGCCACACAGGTGCAGGGTCCCAAGGCGTAGGGCCATGTTGTACTGCTTTTCAGGCCTTAAGCACTGAGCTGGATGGAAAGGGGGAGCAGGTGGAACTTGAAACAGCATCCATGTTGGATCCCTATGGTTGCAAGGTGAGGATTTAGCCATTGCGTCATCGCACGGTGGTCCCAGCACAATTCTTAAGATGTGAAATGTTAATAACTTCAGGTCTCTGGGCAAGATGCCTTAAATCAGGAAGAGAAGAGCTTCGAGTCAGAACAGGCAAGTGGTTTGGAGCCTGGGAAAGAGGTTGGATAAAGCAGTGTGTTTTTATTTGCTCTCTGTGAGATTCCAGAAGTTTCTGTAGATCCTGGAACCTTTCGTGGGAAGAGACAGGGTGCCCCGATATAAGGCTTTGAAGACCTTTTGTTTCTCATGATGTTTCCTTAGGGAAAAGATCTTGAGGAAAAAACACCCCAAAGTTGGCTTCAGTCCCAGTTTCAGAGTTTCAATTAAATAGGACCTTTGGTCCCAAGCTGTGGGAGAATATATAATTACATATCTCTTTAAGAGTTTCTGCTATTAATTTCATAGATTGTTGGTTTTCTAAAAAATTAATGTTCTAACATTTTTTTAATTGGACTGTTTGACAGTTAATTGGTCTTTTTTTTTTTTCCCTGCCAAAGCAGTGTTTGCTACTTCCTGGATGTGGCATGCATAATTCAAGTCTTTTTCATACATAGCATGAAAATGCAACATGATTTAATTGACCCCTAAATTAAAATCTGTCAAATATATGTGACATAAAACTGGATATGGGCTGAGCACTGAGTGAGCACTCTGCCAGCTGTCCAGTTGGTCTCTGGTTTCTGTAGATACTTTAAAAGTTATTCTCAAGGCATTTGTTTTTAAAAGCTGAGTGTTTGGATTCAGAGGGAACATAGGGGTCTTTTGTTAAAAGACTTTCTTGCTGTAAATAGAGAAAAGTGGACCAAATGTGAGAAATGGCTGTGAATAAATAATTCAAAAAATTCCTCAGAATTTCACCTTAAGGTACAGCCTTAAAGAGATACATTTCCCAAAGGCTTTTCTCCTAAATTCCAAATCCATCTTCCCAACCCGTTTTCTTTAGTTGACAATTTTTTTTCTAGTACACGCAAGTACTACTGAGAGTTTTTATTATAAAATCAAACTGAAATTAAAAGATGTTAGCTACTTTTAAAAAGAATTAAGTAAAAATCAAGATAGAAACGAATACTTAAGTATCTTTACTGTTAAAATTTATGAGTAAAGGTTTTTGCACTCATTCTTATGATTTATGATGTATTGAAGATTCATGTTTTCATAGAGACATTTCAGATTCTATTATGAATAACAGTGGGAAAATAGAAAATGGACTGTGTAGGAATTTGCTTTACATGGTGAGTTTCCAGGAAAGCATTTATTAATATAGTTATACCATTTTAGCTGTTTTTTTTTCTAGTACTGAAAAATTTGACCCATGGCTCATTTCATTGCTTTTCTCATTTTTTAAAATCTATCTGGTTCTGTTTTTTCAAGTCACTTCCTGAAGCAATTTAAATTATTTTGTATGTGTGTGCTTATCTGGCATGATCCAGCTTTCCTATTTTCGCTTTCTACTTAATGCATTGTTCATCTTGGCAGTAACAACAACAACAAAAAAAGTAGCTTTTTTTCGCAAGAATAAATGGCTTAATTGATGTTTTCTTAAGATTGTGGACTATTAGTTCTTAGAGCCTGTCAGGGCAAGGGATAAAGCCAGCAGTTTTCATGTGTTTGCCAGTTCCCATCTGTTGGTCGTGGGCATCACTGGGCAGGCTCTGTGCTCACTGGGAGAGGCTGCGTTGTCGGCTGTGTCCTGTGCGTGGAGGAGTATCTTCAGGACCAGTGCCGTATTCGGGCTGAACAGGAACCCTGAAATCCACAGATCTGCTGAACCTCAGTCCCATGCTTTGAGCTAAGTGCTAGACTTTTCCCCCCAAGAATTCTAGTTTTCTTTGGGTGTTTTATTTTTTTTTTCTCTTCCTGTGATAATTGAATTCAGCTAGGTATTTAAATAGTCAGTTACAGATGTTAGAGAAGGGCTTTGGAATATTCCTAAAGCCTCCATGAAAAGGCAGAGATGGTGTCTTTCTAGAAAAGGAGAGGAACTAGAGATAGATAATCTAGCTTTTAAATAATAATAATAATAATAATAATAATAAAACCTGTAAGCCCCAGCTGTAGGCAGCTAGGTTGCCTTGTACCTAAGCAACTGTTGAGGTGCTGCAACAAAAGTAGGCAATAGCTAGTGGACATTCTGGGTCTGGTTAATGCCAAATCTGGGAACTATACCATTATGCCAGCATAGTTGCTTACTTTTTTTTTTTTTTTTCAAATTTTTATTGGAAAGGCGGATATACAGAGAGGAGAGACAGAGAGGAAGATCTTCTGTCCGATGATTCACTCCCCAAGTGAGCGCGATGCTATGCCAATCCGAAGCCAGGAGTCTCTTCCAGGTCTCCCACGTGGGTGCAGGGTCCCAAAGCTTTGGGCCGTCCTCGACTGCTTTCCCAGGCCACAGGCAGGGAGCTGGAAAGGAAGAAGGGCCGCCGGGATTAGAACTGGCACCCATATGGGATCCCGGGCGTGCAGGGCGTGGACCTTAACCACTGCGCCACCGCGCCGGGCCCTACTTTTTTTTTTTTAAAGATTTATTTATTTTCATTGGAAAGGTAGATTTCCTGAAAGAAGGAGAGACAAAGAAAAAGATCTCTCCAGGTGGTTCACCCTCTGGGTGGCTGTAGTGGCTGGAGCTGAGCCTATCCGAAGCAAGGAGCCAGGGGCTTCTTCTGAGTCTCTCATATGGGTGTGGGTCCCAAGTGTTTGGCCCTTCCTCTACTGTTTTCCCAGGCCACCAGCAGGGAGCTGGATGGGAAATGGAGCAGCCAGGACATGAACTGGCATTCATAAGAGATCTTATTGCTTGGAAGTGGAGGATTAGGCATTCAACCATCGGGCTGGGCCCGCTAGTTAAGTGCTGATCAGCATTTCTGCAAGTATTTACTAACTGTAGTTGTGTGTATTTTCATTCAGACACGTGTTCTTAAGATTTATATTCTCCTAGAACCATTTTTTTTTTGTTAGAAAGTTTTTAACATACACGTTTTCAATTGAACAGTGCTGTGTTTTAGTCTTTGTTGTAGTTTAGTTGTTGATAGCATTGCCAGAGGCTGGATGTGAAAAAGGAGTAGCAAGAGACATTGGGCATGACTTTACAGTGCACCTGTTGGGCTGGAAGTGGCAGGATTTACTATTTATTTGTTTATTTATTTACTTATTTGGAAAGGCAGATATACAGAGAGGAGGAGAGAAAGAAAGGAAGCTTCTGTCTGCTGGTTTACTCTTCAAGTGGCCACAACAGCTGTAGTTGAGCCAATCCAAAGCCAGGAGCCCAGAGCTTCTTCTAGGTCTCCAATATGGCTGCAGAGTCCAAGGCTTTGGGGCGTCCTTGACTGCTTTCCCAAGCTGCAAGCAGGGAGCTGGATGGGAAGCAGGGTGCTGGGATTAGAATTGACTCCCATATGGGATCCCAGCAAGTTCAAGACAAGGACTTTAACTGCTAGGCCGTTGCGCCAGGCCTTGGATTTAACTTTTGAGTTGGGCATCACTGTTGTAGATTCTAAGACACCAATAGGATATTGAAAGAAAGCAAATAGTATCAAGTGTTGTAGCCAGGTTAAATATTAAATATACAACTAAGTATATTTTGTGCCATTGGTGTCACATTATTGCATGTGCTACAGTTCTAGTTTGAGAACCATTTTTTTTTTATTGGAAAGGCAGGAGAGGAGAGACAGAGAGGAAGATCTTCTGTCCTATGATTCACTCCCCA